ATTAATCTGGGGACTGAGTGGGATTTAAAGCCCAAAGAGAATGGGACAGGGTTCAGCGAGCCATGTAGAAGAGAAAGGGGTGCCATAAGGATTGTGATCGAAGCATTAGAAGTGTGGAGGGGGGGGAAGGAAAAATAGTGCTCTGTTTTCCTTATTTTGGTCTCTTGGCAGTGGGAATACAAATTCCATTCCTGGGGGGGAAAGCAGAACGGGCTATGGGCAGGACCTGAGCTGCTGGCAGATAGCCCATGTTTTTGTTATTGTTTTAACTCCCCGTGGTCTCATCACCGTGGTATGTGTCGGCATCCTGGCTAAGTTAGAGTAAACCTTGTCTCCTTTCTCCCAGGGATTTCCCCACCAGAGTCCCTTTTGGGACAGTTTGGTGGAAATCAGGAACTTGTGATTTAGGCAAAAACTCTCTGCTAGATTCGAAGAAAAATCTTCTTGTGTCTCTGTAAAAAGGGGACTGTGTTTTAGAACCACCGGGAAGGTCACAGAAAACCTCAGTTCCTGATTCTCTAGGGCATGGGGAAAGCTGTCACAGAAAGCCCTATCTGTGCGGGGCTCGCTCCTGCTAAAAGCACAGGAGAAAAGCTCATTCTACTCTTAGCAAACTCTAGCCTGCTCCTCACCACAAGCTAAGATCTTCAGTGACAAGCTTCATTGACTTAAAAGCAGATAATTTGTTGAGATTATGACCAGCAATGGCTAGGGTACATATAAAGTGGAAACAAGGTTCAACAATGGGTGGTCCACGGTGCAATTGGCGTGAACATTTATCCAAACCACAACAAATAAAGAGGGAACCAGGTCCAAAAAATGAAGGTACAGTATAGAAGGAATCAGAGAGAAATGAATGGATTTCAGACAAAATGTAATGCAATGGTTAAAGGGAAAGTGTAACATGGAATGCCTTGGGCTAGGATGTGTCTTCCCGGGCCGCATGTTTGAGACCCCTGCTCTAGGATGTGTCTTCCCAATGCCACTAAACTAAACTGGAACTGTATTTCACATGTTACGTGAAAAGCCCCTGCCTTCCCGATCTGCGGATCTGCAATCGCTGGCATCTCCTATCAGTTTGACCAATAGGATAGTGGGAGATGTAGCTCCATAAATCTAAAGGGTTCCTTGGATTGGGGAGGGCTGGGTTGTAAGAGTACATTGGTTTCAACCCAGATTTAATCATACTTAAACCCTTTTTAGGCTTCTGCTGAAAGGGTTAAAATCAGTGAGCTGTGCCCTGATATTTGCCATGTCCAGTGGCATAGCATAGAGGGCCACTGGGGTGTGTGTGTCACCCTGGGCACAACATTTTTAGGGGTGCAAAATTCGTTCGCACCCCCCACCCCACAGACTATCCCCCTAGGCCCACTGCCCCTGTCTTCTCCCGACGTGGTCCTGTTGCCTCCTCCTCTTCGTCCTCTGCCTCCGCCGCCATCTTGAGGCACAGCAGGCCTGGCTCCCCTTCCAGGAGGTGGGCCTGCTGTCTCTGTGCAAGCCTCTGCCTATTGGGTGATGGAAGGGAAGCTCAGACTGTCTCTCAATGCAGGCGCCATATGTAGGTGTCACATGATCACAAGAGAAAGTACCCACTAATAGTCTGGCTTATTGTATTGTACCAGTTGTAGATTCTGAGTTGTCTCCAAGTGTAGCCTCATGTGTATATAGGGTTTTTTCCTCCCATGAGGGTTTATTGGGATATTTGGTGGATACAAATATTCCCCTTCATATGTTAGAGATACATTAGCCTTATCCTCTTTTCCATGCCGTCCCACCATAGATGGAGTGACAAGAATGATAATTACCAGAACATAGAATAGATAAAATATTGATATTATTATTTATTAAAATGTTTACAGATAAAACATGTTTAAATAAATACAGCCAGGGTAGATTGCACATTCCAGGAACACCATTAGTTTTATAATTAAGACTCAAGGTAGTTTGTAACATTTTTAACGTTTTTATATGATTAAAACAATTAAATATCATTTAGAAATGCATAAAACGAAGAGTCAAAGGATTAGGACACAAGCAAAATAGAAGAAATATAATTGTAAACAATTATAATGGCCACATTTTGGAGGGAATACAGAATATTATCAGGAAGCACACCCTATAGTATAATTTTGGAGCTATGACAGAAGAACCCTTGTTTGTCTTTTTCCAGTTGAAATATATCTAGTGGATGACACGCGGAGGAGGTCCTGGTTGAAGTGATTACCGTACATTAAATTTAATGATGCAAAGGGTGCAAGCCCCCTGATTCAAGCTGCCTTGGTTTCTTTTTAAGGACAAAGGCGGGGTAAAAATATTTTAAATAAATAAATAAACGAAATTATTACTATACTGTAAGAGCCATGTTTCCCCTACAGTGGTTGAAAGAGAAGATAAGGATTGTTCTGAAGAATAACAGGTTTTCCTGAGAAATGGTTGCCTTGAAGGCCCTTCCAAAGAGCAGCATTTTCCTCAAGCTGTCATCCAGGGATATTCTGTGAGTTGATTTCTTTATTGTAGTTACAAAACAAAAATGAGAACAAAACAGAAAACAAAAACAAAACAGCAAGTCTCTGATTTCATTAAGATGTGAGTGAAAGGAACCGGTATATCATCCTGATCTGTCAGTGTCAACAGAACAGATGTCGGTCTGCTAATACCTGTGGATACGAGGTTCTACCAGAACTGTTCTAATAGATAGTCAAACGCTTTGTTTATACCTGACTCTTCATTCATAGAGCTCACACATTTGCATGGTGTTTGTCACCACAACACCTCTGTGGGATAAGTTAGACTGAGAGCCAGTGAACTCACCAGAAATTGGCCAGTTTGCTTCATGGTGGTCCAAGGATTTGAAGCAGAGCTTCTGGAGTTCTGGCTGAAATGGCTTCCAGTCCACATTATTTTAACTACTGAGTGTCTGTTTAGCTTACAGGCCATGGTCTCGCTGGCAGTAGTGGCCTATATGGATTTTTTTAAATGATGTAATCAATTAACATAGAGGCCTTTCAAGTGTTTGGGTTTCCCAAAATAGTTTACGATATGAAAAGAGTGAAAGTCACTATCAAAACATACATTCCTTGTGAAGGATCCTTAGGAACCCAAGGTATTATTCATCCCATTGTTTTCCCCAGAGAAACTTCTAGATGCCAGGGAAGAAGAGTAGGCTTCAGCAATTCTATGTAGCTGAAGACAGGACGTTCTCAACAACGGAAAGGGAAGTCCAGGGATGAGGCTTCAAGGTAGCTTGTTGTGACAAACTGAAAAGGTCCTTCTCTTCACCATCATTGACTTCGGAAACTTTGGAAGACATTATGTGGGTGGTACATGGGAAGGAAGGAGCTTGATCTTCGCAAATAGCACAACTGCAGTGGAGATAACGAAGAAACAAAAGTGAGTGTGAATCACAGAATCAAAGAATAATGAAGTTGGAAGGAGTCTATAAGGCCATCAAGTTCAACCCCTTGCTCAATGCAGGAATACAAATTGAAGGCTATCTGCTAGGTGCTTGTCTAAATTTCTCTCGAATGGCTCTCACATTCAAGAGAAACTCACTACCTCTCATGGACTTCTTGTCCACTTCTTGTGGTAATTGGTTTGATTGTCGCACTGCTATTTTTCCTGATATTTTCCTGAAATCTGGATGAAGGAATGTTTGATTCAAAAATGTGCAAACTGGCTACGAAGAGTCATTTTATAATGACTCTTCATTTTCATAATGAAGACCTGTTTTATTTTTTACACATAGGATCACATACAATGGTAGGAAATTATACTTTAGAGTTCATGTGCTGAGGTGAGGTTTGAACTGGGGACTCTTAGGGAAAGCTTCATGGCTGTTAATTTTCTTAGATTTGGTTTTATAATCTATATTAATCTTATAACTACAGAGCTGGAAGGGACCATATGGATCATTGAGTTCATTCCTTGACTAGGCGGTTGAAGGGGGAACTAAACTCCCCTTTGCTCCGTAGCCATATACCTAAGCCACTAAATTATACATTCTTTTTCTATCAACTGTGGCAGATAACATCCCTCATTTCAGCTATCCAGAAGACTTAAATTCACTAGTAGATTCAGGATGAGATTTGTCTCATTATCCAGCCTGGAATTGCCTGCCAATACTTTCTCAAGTATTTGTGTTGGAGGAGACTCTTGAGAGTCCCCTGGGCTGCAAGGAGATCAAACATATCCATTTTGAGTGCTCACTGGAAGGACAGATCCTGAACGTGAGGCTCCAATACTCTGGCCATCTCATGAGAAGAGAAGACTCTCTGGAAAAGACCCTGATGTTGGGAAAGTGTGAAGGCAAAAGGAGAAGGGGATGAGAGAGGATGAGACGGTTGGACAGTGTCATCGAAGTGACCAACATGAATTGGATCCAATTCCGGGAGGCAATGGAAGACAGGAGGGTCTGGCATGCTCTGATCCATGGGGTCATGAAGAGTCGGACACGACTTACCGACTAAACAACAACAACTTTCTCAAGGCTTTTGGTACACGAAACAGAACACGGTGCTTCCTTCTTCCCATTTCTTATATGGTCAAGAAATTTTGAAGCACTTATCAGAATAAATTAATTACAGCTAACATGAGACCTGTAGCTTTGAGGAGAAGGGCCCGTGGAGGTCCAGCCCTTCCAACATCCCTCGTACCCCTTGGGCCCAGTACACAGACGGATCCACTATTAATTTCACTGGGCGGCACGCACATGGCCTGCTTGTGCTGTAATTTTTCTCCTGGTGGAGGATGAGGTAAATACATTTTTAAGAGTGCATTTATAAATTTAGCACATAGGTAATTACTGGGATAGAATTATTGTACTTTAATTATTATATTGTTATTATAGTTCATTTGATTGTTGTTATTGTTTTATGAAAGGATCATTGTTTACTGTATGTTTTTATCATTGTAGTTCTGTTATGGTTGTATTTTAACTGTTCTGGACTATTGGAATGCGCTCTGCTATAGGGCGCAATATAAATAAATGTTATTATAATATTATTATCATTATAAACCGAGCAAAACAAAAGGCTTGTGGCATCTTTGGGACGAAGAGATTAATTTAATTATGAATGTGAACGTCTGTCTATTTTTTCAGATGCATGAAGTACAGTATTGCGTGTGTAGGTTTATGTATAAAAGGAAATGACAGTGTTGCCCACACGACCAAGTACTGTGTGGCCTCAATATTCTACTCTGTGTGTCTGAAGTAATGGATTGTAATCCACAAAAGTCCACATAGAAATAGAGACATTAGTTTTAGGTGTGCCAGAAGCCTTTTTTTGTTTTGTTTTTGTTTTACATGCTGAAACAGGTTAAGAAGATGGCTCTCTATTTGAAAGATACCTACATGTGTCAAATTTTGTCTGCCTTTCTTCTAACTGTCCTGGTTACCCATCTTATGGTTCTGCATGAAACAGGGTGCATAACCCTATCGCCTTTACTCAGAAAAATTCCACATGGCCTTTTGAAAATCCATTTGCTGTCTGCATACCAATACAGTCATGCCTCACTTTATGATTGCTCTGAATCCGCTTAACGATGCCTTTTTTGCGATCGCAAAAGCGACCCCAAAACGATGCTTCCTATAGGCAAAATCCACTGTGCAATGATCGGTTCCCTGCTTCGGGAACCGATTTTTCGCATTACGACGATCAGCAAACAGCTGATCGTCGGGTTCCAAAATGGCTGCCGGCTGAAGAAAATGGCCCCTGCTGTTTTCTAGGATGGATTCCTCGCTAGACAGGCACCGAAAATGGCCGCCGTATGGAGGATCTTCACTGGACAGTGAGTTTTTAGCCCATTGGAACGCATTAACCGTGTTTTAATGTGTTTCAATGGGTTTCTTATTTTTGCTTTACGATGTTTTCGCTCTACAGTGATTTCGCTGGAACAAATTAACATCGTTAAGCAAGGCACCACTGTACTTCACAACTTGAGGCAAACTTTCCCTGAGTGACTGGCTACCTGAGTGGAATTTATAAATGAATGTTTATACTTCACTGCTTGGAATGGGTTTTTAGTACAGTACTGCTTTTGTTTACCATTTCTCACAGTGGTATGTGTTTGATTCTTTTCAGTATCTGTATATTGTTTTCAGCTTTACATAATTTTTTATGATGTAAGCTACCTTGTGTCCTTTCTAAAGAGAAAGGCAGGGTAAAATACTTTAAACAAACAAACAAACAAACAAATAAATAAAGTTCTTACCAAGTAGGCAAGCCAGGTCAAGAAAACAGCCGCCACCACGGCAGCCAAACTGATTAAAACAATGGCCCAGTAGGGGAGGCCAGCTTTGTCTTTGGGTTTTGCTGTAGCTTTAATAAGAAAAGAAAAGGAAAAAATAAGCAGGTATTAACTAAACTATGCAAATACTTATTTCTTATACGAGGCAAAAGGCTAGCCTTTCCTTCTCCTCCTCTCAGTGTCAACGTTCTACTCTTCTTTAGAGCGAGACAACATATATTCTTATCTAACTTCCTTCTGTCATGCTCCTAAGTTTTTTTTAAAAAGAAAGAATGGAAAAACGACCTACACACACTCATCCACAGATATACAAAATAACATGTCAGAGAGAACCATCGGCCAGCATAAGTCTCCCTTACCTACTATTTTTACTTATTTCTTATACGAGGCAAAAGGCTAGCCTTTCCTTTTCCTCCTCTCAGTGTCAACGTTCTGCTCTTCTTTAGAGCGAGACAACATATATTCTTATCTAACTTCCTTCTGTCATGCTCCTTAGTTTTTTGAAAAAAGAAAGAATGGAAAAACGATCTACACACACTCATCCACAGATATACAAAATAACATGTCAGAGAGAACCATCGGCCAGCATAAGTCTCCCTTACCTACTATTTTTCATGTGCAAGAATGAAAATACATCAGTTTCTCGGCTAATGTTTCATAACATAAATATGTAAACCTACTGATGCTGGAAACTGTGACTCTGGAATCCGATGTGGTGTTGGAGTCCGGTGTTATGGTAAAGACTGTGCTGTTGGCGCTCTCCAGGACCGAGGGAGATGCAGTAGTATTGGAGTGAGAGGAAGTGCCGTTAGATCCTGGTGAGACCGAAGTGGGAGTGGTAACATTTGATGTTAAAGTCACGTGAGGAGTGGTTGTGTCGTTCAAGACAGAGGTGTTGTTTACAGAGTCACTAGTACTGGAGTTTGCCAAGGGAAATGTGGTTGGAGAACTGTTAATGGTATCAGAGGTGTTGGTGTTGTTGGATCTTGCACCAGACGTTGTGCTGAAGGCAGGACTGGAGGTCACAGTGAAGCTGGAGTTCGTGGTGGTCCCAGCATCAGTGACAGTGCTGGCAGTAGTTTCAGAGGTCCCAGTGGTGCCAGAGCTGTTGGAGGTGTTGGAGGAACTGGGGCTGCCAGAGATTGCAGAGGTACTGGAGCCAGAGGTCACGGTGGACGTGATGCCAAGGGCTGGGGAGGAGCTGGAGTTGCTGGGGGTCATAGAAGGGCTGGGACTGGATGACTCAGTGGAGATTGTGCTGGAGCTTGTAGTGATGCCAACAGCAGGGACGGATGTGCTGTTGGTAGCAGGGCTTTCAGAGGTCCCAGTGGCACCAGAGCTGCTGGAGGTGATGGAGGAACTGGGGCTGCCAGAGATTGCAGGGGTACTGGAGCCAGAGGTCCTGGTGGACGTGATGCCAAGGGCTGTGGTGGAGCTGGAGCTGCTGGGGGTCATAGGGGAGCTGGAACTGGAGGATTCAGTGGAGCCTGTGCTGGAGCTTGTAGTGGTGCCAACAGCAGGGAGTGATGCAGTGTTGGTAGCAGTGCTTTCCGAGGTCCCAGTGGAGCTTGGTCTGCTGGAGGTGATGGAGGAACTGGGGCTGCCTGAGATTTCACGGGTACTGGAGCCAGAGGTCATGTCAAGGACTACAGTGGATGTGGTGTCAACGTTTGTGGTGGAGCTGGAGCTGCTGGAGGTCACAGAGGGGCTAGGACTGGGTGACTCAGTGAAGCTTGGAGTTGAGATGGGTGTGGAGACAGGTGTGGAGATGGTGGTGCCCTCAGTGGAGGCTGCAGCTGAGAAGTGAGGACAAAAGAGTTTTAATGTGTTTTTCCCCCTGGTACCTAGCCCTTACCAGTAGCCTGGCAACAATCTTGAGATGGGTTTAATATCCGAGGAAGAATTAGGCCTATATCTCACAGGGCAGAAGTACCCATGATGTGGGTCACCATATGTTTACAAACCCATGTCTACCTGTTGAGGTAAAATGGATGCAAAAAGAACAGGTGGTTGTGAGGAAAGTAATAAGATGCCCTTTGCTGATTGTCCCTCAGAAGTACCCTCCTCTTTTGTCATAAAGCAGAAACACAAGGTGCTGAATTGCATATTTTCCTCTTGAAATTGTCAGTACCAGCCAACAAGACATTTTGCTACCTGAAGGAGAACAGCAGCCCGACTTCCCCTTCTTCTCAGTCAAGGTGCATAAAGCTGTCTAGTAGCCAAATTATGCTATCCGAATTTCTAAATGATTTCTAGCCCTGGAATCATTCATTGAATTTCACAGAAGCTTCATACCACGTTTTCCTCCACTTTAATGTTCCCATGTTTTCCCACTGCTTGTTCTGCCTTATGTCTTACTAAAGAAATTCTGTTAAGGAGAAAAAGGTGGAACAGCTCCATTATATCTTCTAGTTGCTGTTGTGAGGCGTCCTCCATCTGGAAATAACTTAAATTACATTGGCACCTAAAGCAGGGGAAAAAAACCCAACACAAAACCTTTCCTTGGGGGTGTAAACACATGGACAGAGTTCCTACTCCAGTCCTCTGAAGATGCCGGCCACAGAGACTGGCGAAACGTCAGGAAGAACAACTTTCAGAACACGGCCAAAGAGCCCGAAAAACCCACAACAAACAACAATAACAACTCAGACCTCAGGAAAAATACTGTTTTTGGATGCCATCTCCTACGATCATAGAATCATAGAAAAGTGAATTTGGAAGGGGCCTACAAGGCCATCAAGTCCAACCCCCTGCTCAAAGCAAGAATACAATCAAAGATAATCATCTGCCAGGTGATTATCTAAGTTTTTCTTGAATCCTCCAGCCATTCTGCTGGAGCTTTTGGGAGATACCGTCTAAAAAAGGAACTTCCTCATGCTCTGATGTTAGTTAATTAACTGCTTAGTACCCTTTCATGACACCCCAAGCTCATCTGTCTGAATTGGCATTTCACTGTGCTTAGTAATAGGGCCATGTTGGCTAAATAGCTCAGTCAGTTTGGCTGACCAGCCAGAAACTGGTAGTTCGATTCCCCACTGTGCCTCCTGAGAGAAGAGCCATCCAGTGCAGCCTTGGGCCACCTGTATAGTTCCAGGATGGCCACAGAAGAAGGGAATGGTAAAACACTTTTCAGTGTTCTCTACCTGGAAAACCCTAAAAAAGGGTCACCATAAGTCAGAACTGAATTGCCGGCACATGGTTATTATGATTAGTAATAAGGCCAATACAGAAATCTCTGAATGTCCATCCTTAATGTGGGAATAAGATCCCAGAAATTTTATCCCAAGGCAAAATGGAGCTGGGGAAAAATAAAAGCCCCCCTCTTACCTCTTATGTTGAGGCATAAAATCAAAATAATCCATAAGGCATCTTTGTAGCTTGTCGTTCGCAGTTTATCCATTCTGGCTATAGCCATGGCTCTGGAGAAGTATGACAGTCTGGAAATACAGCTGCTCCTTGTATAGCTTCTCAGAAAACGAAGCACCTGTAGTTCAGATAGGACTGGAAATGTAATTCCCAGCCTGTCACATTTATAACAGTGGGCCAGAACAGATGTGCCACTTTTGGTTCAGAGGGTGTGGCCGACGTTTATTCATGGTCATGGACCGTACACAAAGGGCAGGACACACCATCAGTGTTTAGAAAAGATCATATTTTTAATCTTGCTCATTTCATGACGAAGACCGTGAAATATTCCTCTTGACAAAAGAGTTTTGTAACCAAAGAGAAATTGAGTGGATTCTTTCATTAAAAAAAAAACTCCTTGGCTACACTTTCTTAAAAATAAAATAAGAGTCTCCTCTAGGGACGGCTGTATGGCAGAACAAGATTAAATTAGTTCCCAAGTGAAGCAACCATGAGCAAAAAACCGAGGAGTGAACTACTTCAACTAATATTTCCTAGATTTCAAGAGGCATCAGGAGGCATTCAGGAAGTAAGTGAAACTTTATTGAACAGACATATTGGGCAGGGTGAGAGAAGCCATAACCAACAATATTCTAGAATTGCATTCTTCATTATAGAGTTCCTCCTTCATAATAAGATTTCTTGTCAAAGGAATCTATCGTCCTTTTATTTCTTCCATAGAGGTCTTCAGTATGCTGTTTCCACTTTCTCTTTATTTTCTGCTGGTCAGATATTGTGCATCTCTGTTGGTTTTTCAGCATTCCTAATCTAGGCATTCCTAATGTCCCTTTGATTTCTTGGAAGAAGATCTGTTTTCTCCCTTTTGTTATCATCTGTTTCTTTGCACTGACCATTACAACAGTTCTCTCTGACTCTATGCAAGAGACGCTGAAAAGCTGCATTCAGGATCCTGACCCTTGTTTTGTTACCCTATACTTTTGTTTTCTCACCAGCCCATAAGAATTTTAATAAGCTAGCCACATGTGGCAAAGGGACAGTTATGTTCAAATCACCATTAGGAGGGTACTTCCAGACAGAAGATGCCAAATAAGCTTATGACACTTCCACTGAAAACATACTGTGAAGCTATTTCCCCTTTTCCTCTTTAATTGATTTTTTAAAAATAAGAAAGACATCAAAAGAGATGAGGGGAAAACACAGGAGAGCTACACACGAAGGGTAACATTGGGAATTTCTGTACAACGGTCTTAAAACTTTGATCTGAAGCATGCTGAATTCTGACCCAGCTTTGGAATGTTTGTTAAGAAGGAAGGCAGGATGTAAATGTTATATTAGTCATCACAATCAGACAGGGAGCTGTTTCCCAATGTGAAGGACAGGCGTTGTCATCTCCACCCTGCTGGAGTTTATATGAGCATTGACAAAACATTCATAATCAAAACCTGGAGAATTTCCTTTTTTGTTTGACAACTTCCAGCCATTAGTCCAACCAACTAACAAACTTTTTGCAAGCTCTTGTCATCATAACGACGGTCACCGTAGCAACAGTGGAAATAAGAAGAGAGTGTGTAGAGTCTCGTTCTTGAGATCAGAAAGTGGAGCTGACGTAGGCCCCCTTTTGTGGGAAAAGGCGTGATACACATAAGAATGAAAAAAACAAAACAAAAACAAAACAAGGTGCAGGAATGAACATTTCTTTGTTAATGCAGGGAAGTGAGGGAGAGGTAGTATAGCAAAAATAAAACTATAGTGGCATCTAAAAAACCAACAGTTCTAGTTCAACCTGCACTTTTATGACACTTCCTCATGCTTCTGTAGTCCACAAATGCTCACATTTGGAGGATTTGTGTTTTTGGACTACTGCTCCCAGAATTTCTGTGGGAGCATGAAAATCTTCACACATCTAGATGAAAATAAGGTGGGATCACATGATGGAACTGTTCCATACAGTACATACATATCCATACAAGATATACTGTATGTAAATCGGTTAAATGTTTAGATATAAATTTAGTAAAATATACTTTAAAAAAGGAACATAATTATAATAAATTAAAAGGAGATATTAAAAAGAAACTACAGGAATATACTAACTTAAAACTTCCTTGGTTTGGAAGGATTGCACTGAAAAAAATTGAAGATTCTACCAAAAATTATTTTTTTATTTAGTATGTTACCATTACAGTTAACAGAAGAGGATTTTAAATTTTGGAAAGGAATTATTAATAAGTACTGTAATGAAGGGAAGAGAGCCAGAATAAATAAAAAGTATTGGTATAAAACAACAACAAAAAAAGGAGGTATAGGCATACCAAATATAAAAAAAAATT